AGGATGAAGGAGGGAGGAAGGGCAGAAGGGCTGTGGACTGACCTGAAGGCTAATGTTACGGCAACTTCTTGCCTCTGAGGCTTTTAAGCCATCAAGAGTCTGCATCACAGACTACATAAATGGGAAAACCCAATGAGTGATCCTTGAAAGATTAAGCCAAAATGCTTTATCACTGTCGTCGGAAAGGCAAGTTTCCCTAAGGAGCTATAGTTTAGTCAGGAGGCCACAAAGTAGATTATATTATGGACTGTTCTGGTGGGGAAAAGTGCTAGCCATAGGGTCCAGGAGATTTGGTCTGTAAATTGAGCACCTAGAGGGCCACATGTGGTCTTGATGCTGAAGGCTCCTCACCCCTGGTCCAGATCATTCCTGATGGAGAGGTAGCTTAGATGGACTCAGGCTAGTTTAAAAAGAAACAGGTGCTTGAGGTCTAGAAAAGTGACAGTTTTTTTCTTGTAGGGTGCCAGGGGTGCTGGGGGAGAGGGAAACAAGGCAGATCCTTCTTCATGAAGTGGTAAATGACCCACATCAACTTTTCGTGTTGGAAAGAGTGCTGGAATGGGAGTCGGATGTGAGGCCTGGGTAGCCATCTTCTTAGAATCATCAACTCAAGAGAACCAGGGGCAGGATTTGTGGCTATACTTGTGGTTATGGTGCTGGCACTGCCGAGGTAGGATAGGGCACATCTCTTTAACTATAAAAGGGTTTTTTTGGTGGAGGGTGTTAGAGTATTGGCCTATGTCACTTTATCCTTTGTATCCCTGCCCCTTTCAGGTGACTCGGAGCATCTCTACAAAAATTATTGAAGAGATTGCCCAAATGAAGAACTCTTATAGACAGGAGTGCTGTCATATATGAACCACAAAGCAGTGGTAGTTAACTTCCTTGATGTTCCTAGCAAATGGCAGGTTCTTAGGGGTGATGGACCAGGACTGTTTCTAGAAAAAGTGCCCAGGGCTCTACAGGTGTTGGTGCCACAAAGTCCTTCAGATTCATATTTCTGTGTTTTCCTAGAGCCTCTGGGCCTTGACTACCTGGCTACCAGTGTTTACAAAGAGGCCAGGAAGACAAATGGGCACTAGTTTCTGGTCTTTTACTTCTATTAAAGAAACTCTGTTACTGCTATTGAAATTTTTTTCTTTTCTGGCTCCTGGACTTCTATTCAGAAATCATTTAAGACTAAGGCAAGGGCCAGAGTTGGTTTCTTTGGGAATCCTTTGAAGGGTATGAGTTTAGCAGGGTAGGAAAAGCTGGGAGCTTCTGCAATGGAGCAAGCTCCTCAACTGCTTAATTTCTGTTTGCAAAGAAAACCCTCTGTATCTGGGAAAAGGGTACATACTTTTCCATTCTGGTCTGTAAGTTTTGTCTGGATGTAAGCATGGGCCTTCTCTGGGTGTATTAGTACTCTGAATTCTACTTCACTTTCTTCCTTTCCCTCAACCCCTGTCCCTATTTCTGTTCTCCAACTTACATCTGTATCCTAGTCCAGTGCTTCTTAAACAGTTTAAGAACAGCTGAAGGCTTCCAGAGTAGAAAAAATTTAAGAAGGCCTGTCCTAGTCCACAATTATATTCTGCCCTTTATTTCCCACATACACACCTTTTGTTAGAAGTTTGCTGACTCCACTTACTAGTTGTATGATAGATAAGGCAACCTCTTTTAGTCTGTCTGCCCCATATGTAAAAATTGGATAACAATACTTGCCTTACCTCTCTTATAGGGTTGTTGTGAGGAATGTAAACCATAGAGCGCTGTATGAATAAGTTATTATTTTCTCTTTTTTGCTCTTCCTGGACTCTGTGTGTGGGCTGAGCTAGTTACTTGAGTTTTAGGCCTTTATTCCTCTCCTGAGCTTGGTGGTGGGTAGGGTGGAATGAGCATGCTATGGTTTTTCACATTCTAAATCCCCCGGTTACTTTTTACTACTGAAACACTGCCCTCTAGTGAGCAACACTGTCAACACCTTTATCCCACCAGTTTTGACCCAGCTGAGTTGTATGTTGTATTCTAGGGCAAGTGTGTGGGGGCGGGGGGGGGGGGGGGGGGGGGCAG